GAAGATTTTGACTGTTGGGACTGTGATCTTACCTTGAACCTGTCACCAGCTTGCCTGATATAGGACTTCACTTTCCTCAGCGTATTGTCCTCACTCATTAAATAAATGTGTTGCTCTATCTGGTCTCTGAGATCCCTTTTCACTCTGATTTTCTGTGATTGATCATGTGAAGTGAGGAGAGTAACACCAGCTCAGCTTCTTGGTATTTTTTTTCCAGCTCTTTGATTTTGAAGCAGTGATATTTGTGAATTTTAGGGAGTCTGATTTGTGCAGGGAAGATGCCAGATTTCAGGGCAGAGAGTGAGCGCCTTCCTGAAGAAGGTAGGTCTGGTCTCTTTTTTGAGGTTGGTTGCCAGGGGAACCTAGCCTCTGGCCAGCAACAGTCAGGAATGCTTTGGTTGAGGGTTGGGTACAGATAACTAAAACAAGCAGCACATTTAGGTTTCACTTTCCAAACTGCCCCCCACTCCCTAGCTCACTTTTCTTTTCAAGCTGCTAGTTTTATACACTTTCTGTATGATAGGCACTATTTTAAGTACTTTATAAAGTATTATATTATTTAGTCTTTGTAGTAATTGTATAAGATACGTACTTGTTCTACATTTACAGATAAAGTGAAGTAAACAGTTAAATACTTGGTCTATATTTATTGAAGTGAAAAGTGGTATCAAATCTATTAAGTTATAATGCCTGTTGGAGCTTTTAAAAAAAGCACAGGGAGGAGGGCTCTTTAGTTATTTATTAGTGGTTTTGTTTGTTTTGTTTTACTTAGAATGATAGACCCTTGGAGTTGGAAAGGGCCTTTACAGTAATAGTGTCAAGCTCCTTGTCTCCAGACTGTCATCCAGTTAGTTGCAGGAACGCTTTTTGTCATCCCTTGACAGATGATCATCCAAGTTCCTTTTGAATACTTCCACCTCTGGGAAGCTCATCACTTCTTGAGGAATCCTATTATATGGTTGAACAGCTCTCACTAGCAGGAAGTTATTTCTTATTTTAAATTGTAATCTAATGAGATGACTTAACAGTTTTAGGCCTGTCCCCTGGAACCATGCAGGAGAAATATACCACATTTTGCCATGTATAATGCACACTTTTTTGCCCTAATTTTTGAGGGAAAAATAAAGATACCCGTTATACATGCCTAGTACTAATTCCATATTTATATAAATGTTGTTAATTCTTTTATTTACGCTTATGCGTTAAAAGTGTAATTCTAGAAAGCAATAATGATATCTGTATGTAAAATGATACCCGGGAATATGATAATCGGTTTTGTTACTAAATATAAATAAATAATGAATTGAATTAAAAAATTAAAATGAAAAATATGTGTTGCAGAACTAAAAAAAAAATTAAAATGAAAGATTTTTTCCTGAAAATTGGGCTAAAAATGTGGGTGAGCATTATACATGGTAAAATATGGGAAATCCATCTTCCACACACCAGTTTTGTGAATGTTGGAAGACAGGCTTCTTATTTATAAGGCATATTTGCAGTTTTCTTGTAGCATCTAAACTTGTATTTAATTCAGATTGGTCTTCATGAAAGTAATCTCTATCTCTTACTACTTTGCAAGTATAGCCTTGCAACAAATAAATGCTTTATTTCTTGTGAGTAGTTAGGCACAAAGTATGGGCCCTTCCCATGATTTTGGAGAATGAACAGATAGTGAGCTGAACCTGTACAACTGTATATGAGTCTGGAGGTAGTCTTCTACTCTTGTAATCTCTAAGACAGTAGGTTGCTGTCCTGTACACAGAGCTCTCAAAATGGCTGGAAGTTTATCTGGGCACTTGAGGAAATTGCATTTCCTTCATTAGACCACTAGGTGATGAACAACTCACAAACCCAGACTTGCCAGGCAGGCTGTGTATAGGACAATTTTTGTTTGTATTTGGAAAGCCTATCAAAAGTCATCTGGTACAACTTCATTAAAAGGTTTTTTGTGGGGACAGGGAAACACATCTGTGTATACTTTGTCTTTCACAGCTTTTTTCCTTTTTAAAAATTGACTGGTTTTAGAGAGAGGAAGGGGAAGAAAGAGAAAGAGAAACATCAAGTTGTTATTCCACTTATTTATGCATCCATTGGTTGTTTGTTATATATATCCTGACTGGAGATTGAACCTGCAACTTTGGCATATTGGGATGACACTCTCAACAAATGAGTTACCCGGCCTGGGCTGTCTTTCCCAGCTTAGTTCCAATCTTAAATATTTGACTAGGACACTTCTTTGAGTGATTTTCTTAGAAAAGGGGCATGGATGATACTTTCAAGTTCCTTATATGTCCAGTTATTTTTTTTCTTTAACCTTCATGTGTATAAATTATGTCTTGTTTGGATTTAGGGTTCTTGAATAGTAATCCAGTTTCTACAAAGTCTATGTGCAGCTTTCTACTATCTTCATTTTCTGGTGATACAGATGGAAAGTCCTTTGCCAACAAGATAATTTTTTTCTTTGAAATAATAACCTGTTCTCTTTTTCTAGAAGTTTGTAAATTTTTTCATGCTTAGATTTTCATCATGATATGTTTAGGTGTGTGTCTTTTTAAAATAACTCTGCTTGCCACATGATGAACCTTTTAGACTTCAAAACTGGGGAAGTTTTACTGCTTTCCTTCCATCTGTTTCTAACCTCCTTACTTTATGGATGAGGAAACTGAGCCCAAGGTCACTCAACTAGTTGGAAGTGAACCTCAAGCCCTGACCAGTGTGGCTCAGATTGGGCATTGTTCTGCAAAGTGAAAGGTTACTGGTTCAGTTCTCAGTCAGGGCATGTGCCTAAGTTGTGGGTTCTGTCCCTGGTCAGAACTCCCAGGGGGAGTGTGTGAGAGGCAACCAATCGGTGTTTCTCTCTCTCTCTTCTTCCCTCCCCCTCTCGCAAAAAAAATAATAAATAAATAGATAAAATTTGTAAAAAAATAGAAATGAACCTCAAGCAAATAACTTGACCCCTTTAATGAGCTATAGACTTTTAATACAATCAAAGCATGGATTGAATATTGCTCTAATGAGAGGATTATCATGAATAACTTGGAAATATTTTAGTGAGACAGGAGTTTTGCCAAGGGTTTGTGTGGAGATAAAGAAGGAAGAAGTGATTAAATGGACTACGATTAAAATGTGGCCTATTTGAAAGAAAGACTGAAAAATTTACCAGTCCCTGGTATCCCAGCTATTGGAGGTACCTCAAAGCTCCTAAAACTTTAATAAAGCCAGGAAGTTGATTGAACACTTGGAGAGTTAGATATTTAAATCAGAAGTTGGATAAGAATGGTCATGCCCAGTTGTAAATATTGGAAAACAAAAATGGCATGTGAAGGGTTGGAAACAGACGTCATAAACTATGTCTTTTCAGTGGTCTGGTTTCTGTTTTGAGTTTGAGCCTAGGAGCGTGTTCTGTTGGGAATTACCCATTCCTTGCTCTGTTGATCTCTGGATTTCCCCAGCCCTTCAGTCCTTTTCAGTTTTGAAATGAAAACTACTCCACAGGGTGAGGTCGGTACCTGGGAGGACTTTGACAGCTCACACCAGGTTGTTTTCTTTCCAGAGACGTCTCATATGTGACTGCGTGTGATATAAGGCTCAGCAGGTTGTGATACAGACTAATTGATGGTGAATCAGCCTTGCATAAGGACTAGGCAGTATTATTTCTTTGAATAACAGAGAAAACATGTAGACCAAGTATATTGTCTTTCATCTTCCAAGTTCAAAGTTAAGAGCACACTCTCTAGAGTTCTGCCATGATCTTTTTCTGTCTTTGGTTTACTGAAGAAGGAAAGGCTTTTTTCAGTGTCTTCTCTCACTTGTAGAGCCTCTTTTCTTGTCTGCAAGAACCCAAGGTCCTGGCTGCTTTCTGCTGCTTCAGCTTCTCAACTTTAAAATTGTTCCTCCTGGAATTGTTCTTCTGATATGAGGAGACTCTTTTGCATGCCCCTACATGAATCATACATACCCTGTTGCTGACCCCTTCGCAGAATATAGCTTCTTTTCTCTTTGCTGTAAACCTGGTTTCCCTCATATTATAGCACTTCACTTGGAAGTTTTATAAGAGCATTTGGCTTTTCCTTCAACTTACCTCATACCACTTCCCCCTAATTTTGCCTGACTGCCCCTTGGCCCCATTCCCCAGCATTGCAGAGCTGCTTCCAAACCTTCAATACCCTTTTCCCTTTGAAGCTGGTGATGGCCAGCAAGGCTGCCTGATCTCTGTCCTTAATGAGCATCTATATCATTCTCTCATGTTTGTTTAGGACTTTGGTGTCTGACCTTCCTTCCTGGGGCTCTGGCTAGACCTGGGAATTGGTGGCCAGGGATGGTCAAGGATGCAGGATAGAACATAGAATTGTGGGACTTAGAGTTAATTTTACAGATATGGGCAAATGGAAAACCAGAATATTAGAACATCAAGATCAGAACAGAGAAAACTTAGTATCTGAAGGAAAAGATATCTTTTGCTGGCTCCTTACTCTCATTTTTAAAAGAAATTTATAGTTACTATTATTTTTTAGAACAGTTTGGTTCACAGCAAGGTTGAAATCAATACATTGTGGATATTTTGAATACTCCTGCTCGCACATTTTAATTATTTTTGCATTCCCCGAAGATAGCCTGTTAGTGGTTTACAATGTGCCTTCCAGACTTTTTTCTGTACATTTGCATACATATGTATGAGCCCAGAAACATTTTAAGTATTATTTTTGTTTTTTATTTATTTACACAAATGGGGGTACATTTTATATATTCTTTTGGTATTTCTTTCTTTGATTCAGTAATATGCTTTTGACAGTATTCCATGTTGGTACACAAAGGTACTTATTCTTGTTGGCTACTGTATAATATTTCATAGAATATGTATACTGTTTTTCATTTAGCTTTTTTCCTATTATGAGACATTAAGTTACTCTAGTTTTTTGTTGTTACAAATGATGCTTATGTTTTAAATGTCAGCATTCTGTTCTTACGACTTTTTTCCCTTTTCCTCATATTCCCCCTAGATGATCTCAGCCTCTCTGATGGTTTCAGTCAACATCTCTTCATGGATGATGCCCAAATCTCTTCCCAGACCAGAATATCCAACTGCTCATATGGACAACTTCACTAGATTGTTTTGCGGATGTGGCAAAATGCAGCCTCTTGCTCTTCCTCACTTGCTCCTCATCCGGTATCCTGTCATGTGGTAAATAGCACAATTGACCCTCATAGTTGATAGGTCCCAAATCCTAATAGTAATTGTAAGTCCTCCCTTCCCTTCCCACAGCCAGCAATCAGCTTATCACTAGGACTTGTTCCCTGCCTGCCCCCCCCCCCCACCCCCCAGCAAATATTTCTTAAATCCTTCTTTCTGGAATGCTTTCTTTCTTCCTTCATTGCCACTATGTACCTTAGTTTCCTAATTTATCAAATAGAGTATTTGTGAGGTTTACATGAATTAATATGTATAAAATGCTTAAGGATGGATTGGCTCCTGCTTTTCCTTCCTTCCCTCCCCTTCCCCTTTTTCTTCCTCCATTTCTCCTCCTCCTTGTTGCCTTAGTTGGTTGTTGTCTTTGTAATTGTGTTGTTATTCTATTCATTCTGTCCTCTATAGTCTCTGTCTTCAATCTTGATTTTTATCCTCTCCTTCCATTCTCCATATTGCAGCCAGAGTGATTTTTTAAATTAAATTAAATTTAATTTCAGTTGTTGTTTATGTACAGTTTTCTGTCTTTTACTCCCATCCCAACCCTGCCCCCCCCAAAGAGTGATCTTTATAAAATGTAAGAATGATTGTGATCTAATCTCCCTGCTTAAAAATCCTTTAGTGATCTTTTTGCACATACTATACCCCTACCTAGAATGCTTTTCCCCTTGATCTTTGAATGACTGGTTCCTTTTTTTTTTAAAGATTTTATTTATTTATCTTTAGAGGGGAAGGGAAGGAGAGAGGAAGAAATATCAATGTATGGTTGCCTCTGGTGTGTCCCCTGCTGGAAACTGGCCTGCAACCTAGGCCTGCAACCTAGGCATGTGCCCTGACTGGGAATCGAACCTCGATCATCTGGTTTGTAGGCCTGTGCTCAGTTGGTTCCTTTTTATTGAGATGCTGCTTTTAAATGGTATCTCCTCAGAGAGGCCTTACCCTGACCACCTAATGATTCTAAAGTAGCCACCCATATACTTTCTATATCAGCTGTTTTAATTCTTTGCATAGTACTTAGCAATATGTGACAGCTTCGTATGTCTTATGAGGCTCTTCTTGGTCTGTCCAGCATCATCTGCCTCATAGTACACTCTCTACTTTGGCCTCCCCACTGCCTCAGCACGTCCTGTCTCTTTGTATGTGGTTTCTTGTTGAACAACTGTTGCATATACTGTTCTTTCTCCCTAGAACACTCTTTCTCAAATGCCCTGCCACTGTCTGGGTATCTCCTATTTATACTTCAAGTTTCAGCTTAGGTGTAACTTCACCTTACTAGCCTTCTTAACCTTACAGTTCTGCAAGTATTGCCTTTAATTATCATACATATTGTAATTATTGTTTGTCTCCTTAACTAGACTGTAAGTTCTGTTGGGTAAAGGCCCATGTCTTACCCACCATGTATTCTTAGTCCTAGCTGCTGTGGGTTGAAAGGATCCCCTGAGTTGTGGGTGGTGGGTAGGAGGGATGGAATACCAGGGTATCACCTGAGGGGAAACAAAGTGTGTCTTAAAATGTCAGGGTGAGGTCTAGTCATTTGCTCCTGACTTATTGTAATTCTCATTATTCCATCATCTTTAGTGATGCCAGTGTTTGCCCAACTGAACCATCTAACATTCTTATGTCTCACTGAGACACATTCATAAAATCAAAGTAAGCCTGTCAGGGAACTTGTCCACGAAGGGGGTATGAATGCTGAGGACAAAGGCTGAGGTTCTGGGTAGGCCAATTATTTACTCCTAGTGGCTTATGGCAGAATAACAGTGCAGTGGAATCCTAAGCAAGGAAGGAAGCAAAAGGCTTTAGGGATAGGGTGAGGCAAAGATGAAACAGGAAGGTGAATCATTAAGTCAGAAACGTAGAGAATCAGGATAGTGGGTGGAGTGTAAGAAAAGACAGAGCTGGCAGTTCAGGATTAGGACCATAAATAATCTTGAGGATTACTTAAATTATCTTTTAGCATTCTTAGCTCTTTAGTGTGGAACCAGCTTTTGGATTATAAGAAGCATTAGGTAGTTGACATACAAGGGTTTGATCTAGATTGCATATTACTTTATTTGTATTTTATGTGCTATTTACAGTCAAATCCTGCCTTAATTTCCTCCAGAATTTCTACTTTGCCTTTTTCTCCTACTTCAATTTCTGTTTCCAAGAGCCTGCCTTCACTCCTTTCACTAGGTTCAACTAACTCATCTTGGAAAAAAGATTACAGAAGCCTGCAGCGATCCTGCTGCTTTTTTCAGGTAGAGTGAACACTCCTTCAGGTGACTTCCTCTCAGTAAACTAGGCATTGGAGCTGGCCTCTGCAGGCTCAGGAGTTCAGAACTCTCTGCTCAGCCTAAATTTGTGGAATTTCTCTCTGAATACTGGGGAAGGACATGGGAGTGTAGAATATAGAATGGTACTCTTATTGGTGAGGCGTAGTAAGGAGAAGTTGGAAAGGAAGTTGGAAAACTGGCTGAGTGTGCATAGGTGGTAGGATCTGAAGGTGTGTAGGCAGTAGACTTCAAAGTTTTTGACCTGGGATGGTCCTTGAGTTTAAGGAAGCATTAGGGGGTCTCTGATGTGCCAAGTAGAGTAGTGCTAGTCATTAGCCCTTAGAGGTGCCCTTATAGGTGTCCTTATGTTTTTCTGTGTAGCCTGGAGTTCTTCTGCTTAGTAGCTTGGCATAGTGGTGAGTGCTGAGAGAGAATCATAGGGACAGAAACAGTACTTACTGAGGAGGGATGTGTTCATTTTTGAAGGTTGGACGGACTGATTATATATACATATTGGGGAGTCTAAGGCCCAGATACCTGATCTATATGAGGCAAGGCATCTCTACCCCCATCCTAGGACTCTGCTAGGAAAACCAACCTAAGAGGGCTAGAAGTCATAGCCTTTGTTAGAGATTTGTTTGAGTGCGAGTGCTCCTGAATTTGACTCCTCTGTTCCCTAAGCCCCATGCTCTGACGTCCTGCCTTCTATTTTCTGCTTTGTGGCCTTCAAATTTCATAATCCATTCTGACTCCTCTCTCTATATTACTCCATGCCTAGCTTGACTCTTGGCTCTACATAGTCCCTAATTTTGATATTACCAGCCAGCTTCAAGTGAGGTCCTCCATTAGCCTTCCTCCTAGAGCTATGATTATGAAGCTTTAATGCATCAGAATTATGCATAGGGCAAGGGTTGGGGAGGGGAGAACTGGGGTACTTACTTAAAATGCAGGTTCTTGGTTTCTAATCCTAGCTATTCTGATTTAGTAGGCATGTGTTGGTAATCAGGAATCTGCATTTTGATTGGCTTCCCTGGTGACTCTGACACTGGTCATCTGCAGATCATATTTGGAGAAACTCTATCTTAATGGACTCTGCTGACCACCTGCCCCCAAAAGGGGAGGGAAAGGGACTTGAACCCTTTACTTGGATCCTAAGATCTTAGGAACCTTAATCATCCATTGGGAACAATGGACGACTCTCTGTGTACCAGCACTTTCTCTTCTTATTGCCATCATAAGTATAGAGCCCTACTATGAGGAAGAGGGTGTTAATGATTCCTCCATGGCAGGGCAGTATCTCTGGGGTTTGCAGGGGGTTTGATTTTGGATTCAGAAGGCAGGCTAGAACATAGATCTTGAAGACTACCTGTTGCACTTTAGATTTGTGTCTGAGAGGCCTCTCTTTCCTGTGCACATAGATCCTGCCCAAGGATAGGCTGGTCTCCAAGCTATCCTCACTTCCCACTGTGGCCATCCTTTATATAGCTTCCACTGTTCTATTAAATAACCCAACCTGTCTTTCTCTTTTTGAAATTCTCTATTGCATTTCTATTATCTATACAGTCAAGTCCAAATGTATCAGTGTGGAATAAACAGTCTTGCACAATTTTGTCCAAATTATGGACTACAAAGCCCAGAAAAACTGTTTCTCAGGGCTTATTCCAAGTCCCTTTCCTCCTTGTCTCCATCTCCTATAGGCACCCTCATAGTTCCTTGACCTCTTCTTCAGTTCTGTGGCTTCAGTGTCTTTGTAGGGTTGTGCAGCACTCTTTACCCTGCCCTTCACCTCATTAACTATCCCTTGCCTTTAAGTTTCAGTTAAGTATTGTCTCCTTTTAGTGGTCTTTTTTGGCCATTCTATACAAAGCAATATCATGTTACTCACACGCATGCTATTTAGCACCCAGTTTGCTTCCATTAGCTTACTTATCACTTTCCTTTCTACTAGATTATAAGCTCCACAAGGTCAGGAACCTTCTTGTTCATGGTTGTATCTTAGTGCCTAGTGCACAGAGATTCTCAAGTACTTGTTGACTAAATTACCTTTCACCTTCTTGTTGGTATCTGTGTTGGTGCTTTGTGGCTCTGCATAGCTCTCACCCTTTGCATGTTGTGTTGTTGCCTCTGACAGAAACCCTCTTTCTCTCATCAATTGGTCAGGTTCTTTGTTGTTCTTTACCATTTCTCTAAGCAGTTCCTAGACTTGCCAGGCAGTGCTAGTTCAACAGAGATAAGACTTTGGTCCTCTTGAATGGACTTTTGCCCTGCATGGTAATTCCACATATGTAGGAGATAGGTAGTACTGCCCTTAGTTTACGGATGACAAGTCAGAGGCTCTGAGAGGTGTTAATTTGGAAATAGCAGAACTGAGATTTGAACGTTGATATGTCTGTAGAGTCCTCACTCATTTTACCTCCCTATGCTCTCTCTAAAAGAAATGAATTAGCAAGCTCAGAGACATTGAAATGAAAGAGGTGCTTGCTTTTAAAAAATTGCTTAGGTAATAAAAAAATATATATATATATATAAACATACTTTTAAAGTTTCCTCAGAGTTAAACACAGTAAAGGGTATGCTATTGACAAGCCATTTATAAGGATGATGGAGTAAAGGATGACCATAATATTCAGAGGATGATGTGTATTTTCTGTGTTTCTTTGTTCCTTTCTTGCCTTGGGGACTTCTTGTGATCATGACAAAATCAATATACAAGGAGGGACTCTGCATGAAAACAGAATTTAT